TGACCAAGCAGGGTGTTTATGGCGGGACACCATGAAGGAAGCCGCTGCTTACTAAAAAAAACATTGTTGCAATTTTTGGGAAAGAGCATATTGAAACTCCACAGTGGTATTGGCAAAACATTTTGTGGACTGATGAAACTAAGATTGAACTATTTGGAAAGAACATGCAGCACTACATCTGGCGTAAACAAGAGCACTGCGTATCATGATGAAAACATCATCCCAACCGTAAAGTATGATAGAGGAAACATCATGACTTGGGCCTGCTTTGCTGCATCAGGGCCTGGCCAGCTTGCAGTCACTGAGGGGAAGATGAATTCCCAACTGTATCAAAAAATTCTTCAGGATAATGTGAGAATGTCTGTATGTCAGCTGAAACTCTGAAGAAGTTCGGTGATGCGACAGGACAATGACCCAAAACACCAGAGCAAGTCCACAACAGAATGGCTTCAAAAAAAAAAACAAAATCTGCCTTTTGGAGTGGCCATGTCAGAGCCCAGACCTCAACCCAATAGAGATGCTATGGAATGACTTTAAGAGAGCCATACATGGGAGACATCCAAAGAGTATGACGGAGCTAAAGCAGTTTTGCAGGAAGAATGGGCTAAAATTCCTCCTGAACAATGTGCAGGTCTGATCCACAGCTACAGGAAGTGCCTGGGAGAGGTTATTACTTTTTCCACTAACATTTTGAATGTTCATGAGCTTTGGGTCATGACTGAAAGATCCTGATCCTGGATACAGGCAGCCGAAATGAGCTTCCTCCGCAGGGTGACCGGACACACCCTTAGAGATAGGGTGAGGAGCTCAGTCACTCAGGAGGAGCTCAGAGTAGAACCGCTGCTCCTCCACATCAAGAGGAGCCAGCTGAGGTGGCTCGGGCATCTGTTTCGGATGCCTCCTGGGCGCCTTCCTAGGGAGGTGTTCCAGGCATGTCCCACCGGGAGGAGGCCCTGGGGAAGACCCAGGACACGCTGGAAGGACTACGTCTCTCAGCTGGCCTGGGAACACCTTGGCATTCCCCTGGAGGAGCTGGAGGAAGTGTCTGGAGAGAGGAAGTCTGGGCATCTTTGCTTAGACTGCTGCCCCTGCGACCTGGCTCCGGATAAGCGGAGGAAAATGGATGGATGAATGGAAAAAAGGAACGGGAGCAACAATTAATATAAAGAAACAAGGTGCAATACATGTAGCGTTATTCAATCATAAAGCCGCACAAAGAACATAGCAGGAGCAATAGCAGACAGAATTTGAAACAGCAAGTAGCCCTAGCTGTTAGCAGCACAACAGCACACAGAAACAGCAAGTAGTTAGCAGCCGTAACACTTAAAGGCAGCATTCACTTTATTCAAATAATCTATGAGCCAATAAGTATGAAGGAATAATAATTAGCAGCAGCAGTTAGGGACATCATCAAACAAATCAGTCATTTGAATAGGTGCTTAACTGGGGTGTGAAGACCTCATATTTTAGCCTGAATGAATACTGTGAGCTCCATTTATTTCCTTACCCGATGATGTGTTTAGATATGGCTAACTGATCAGGTCCCTATCAAAAACAGTAGCATAAACATTAATATAAGCTTGATCCTTGTGTTATTTGAGCATTGAAATATTTTCTGTGTATCTATATTTTAGTTATGGTCGTATTTTGAAATTATTTTCGAAAATGTATTTGCATGGATGTTCTAAAAAATAACTTAATAATAACATGCTTAACCCAGGTTATATAATTTGTTGCTCAACCCTTAAAACAAAAGCACTGAAAAATGAAGAGCAGGCTGACACTCCAATAAGTCTTCCAGGACATTTTATTTATTTAGCTTGGAATATAGGATAGTGCTCAGTCTCACATCAGCTTTGACACACTGGGCCACAAAAACATGTGAACGGATGGTGACAGTTCAGTGATAGGCAACTCATGGCTTTTCATTATTAGCTGAAGCATGATTATGGCCCTGTGAGTGTCACCGTACCTAATGACTGTGCACACACATATTACACACACATATGCATGCAAACAGCAGATTTGTCACTTCATTTTACTCTGATTACTGAACCGAGTGAGTAATTACGAGGATCAGGTGAGAGGAGGGGAGGGAGCTGCTGATTGGGCAGAATCAGGCCCAGCCAGTCTGAGGAAGGGGGTGCTGCGGTGTGGTGCCATGCGGATGGAGAGGGGGAAAGACTAAAAGGGAAAAAGGGGGGTGGACGGGCGTCCCCAGATTCATGGCTTTGACATCTGCGTCCTTCTCGACTCACTGCTCACAGCCTGTTTGTCATGTGAACCCCCCACCCCCAGGTCTCTCCATCTCCCCCATTGGTTGGTTGTGAGAGAGGGAAGACTCTGTAGGAGGAGGCATGGGACAAAACAAATCCCTTTTCTTGGACACTGTGCTGTGCCAGGAGTGTGGGGACAAGTTTAAAGATGAAGGGGAGGTTAATGTACTGGGAAGAATGAGGGAGCCGCTGTAACTCTCTTCTAATGTACCTTAAACACACATACAGCAGCAATGCTGCAGGGCCGGACTAATAACTCAGCACATACATATGTGCACTCACTCAAAACTAAAATACACTTAGGAATAGAAATTGATAAATCTTATGTGATGCTGACTGTACTAGGATCAACATCCACTAAATTTTGAAGTTAAAGCATATGCATTTGTTTTGGTTATTGCATTAAGGTGCAGAGTGACTTGCTGAGATGCATGAATATGTGCTTCACAGACCTGCACATAAATACTGCCCTGGGCATGTTTACCTCTGAACAAAAACAACATAGAGGGGCATCCACTTGTGGTACAGACAAAGGTAACTGACCCCTTTTTAGTGCTTGTCACCAATAAATAAACTGAATTTATCAAATTGATGAGAATATGAATTTCTTACTGACTTATATTTCCAAACGAACTGTCTCAATTTCACATACTTTCAAAGAGAACTGCTGCATTAACCAGTGATATAAAGCCAAAAAGCCAAAAACCACTATTTGTTTGAAATTTGACACACATATGTAAGGTGGCAATGTATATCACTTGACCAAATTTCATCCAGATCTGATCCAGATTCTGGATCTGACAGCCATTTCAAGTTAACACTAAAACCCCGTTTTATGAATATTTTCTTCCAGAACTTGGCTTGTAATGAGCATAGAACCCTGAAATGTTCAGCTATGATGCATAGTATTACTGCCTATCATACCCTAAAAGATAATCGGGATCCAATCTGGATCAAGGATTTTAGGATACATTTTGTGTTGTTCTGGGACCCATTTGTGTGAGCAAAAGTTGTGCCTTGGCTGAGGTACATGTGATCTCTAAGCGCATTTGCTGTTACGTTTATCAAGACTGTTGAGACTTAAAAGTTCTTCCAGTAATACTGAATGTCCTCAAGTTAAAAAAAAAAAAAAATAGTCAAAGTACAACCTCACCGTCTTGACAAACTCCAGAAAAGAACTTCCAGAAAAGTTGGGACATTTTCCAAAATGCAGTGAAAATTAAAAGCTGTGATTTGTTAATTTGGTTGAAACTGTATTTAACTGACAAAAGTACAAGGAAAATGTTTTTAATGTTATCACTGACCAACTTTATTGCATTTTGTAAATATAAAATTTAGAATTTGATGCCTGGATCCCACAAAAAAAGTTGGGAGAGAAGCCTGTTTAGCACTGTGTTAGAACACCTTTCATTTTAATTACACGTTTGAATTGTTTTTGGAAGTGAGGATACTAATTGTTGCAATTTTACAAGTGGAATATTTGGCCCATTCTTGCTGAATGCAAGACTTAAGCTGCTCAACAGTCTGTGGTCACCATTGATTGTCCTCTTCATGACGCACCATACATTTTCAACAGGAGGCAGATCTGAATTGCAGGCAGGCCAGTCAAGCACATGCGCCATGTGTCTATGGAGGCACGCAGCACGTGTAGAATGAGCCCTGGCATTGTTCTGCTGAAATATCCACAGACTTCTCAGGAAAAGACGATGCCTTGACAGCAGCGTACTGTATGCTGTGGGCACTGACGCACCCCAATACATTACAGACGCTGGCATTTGCACCTTTCACTGATAATAGTCTGGACTGTCTTTTCATCTTTGGTATGGAGAATACGATGTTTTTTCCAAAAACAAGCTGAAATGTAGACTTATCTGACCACAGAACACATTTTCACTATCTTTTAGTCCATCTGAGCTCGGGCCCAGAGAATTGATGTATGGCCTCCTCCTTGTGTAGTAGAGTTTCAGGTTTCATTTCTAGGTGCAGCAGAGGACTGTTTTAAGTGACAACAGTTTTCCAATGTACTTCTGAGCACATGTGGCTATAGTCATCATGGTAGCATGACGGTTTCTCTTGCAATTCCTCCTGAGGACTTGACAAAGCCATTTGGTTACACTAGTGTAGTGGGAAGATGGTCATCAAACTTAAAAAACTTTCTTTACTACTCCAATAAACAGAAGACAGTGTAGTTTAGGAACAGTTGATCATGGTTATGCAGTTCATTGAAAATAGCTCATATGACAACTGCCCAACTCAAGTTCAACACTGTAGTAAACTTCAGTCAGAGACGGGATGGCCCATTTTCCATTTGACTAAAGCCATTACAAGCCACGTCAAAAATGTTGTATTACATGTGATATTGTATTTCATTGCTAGATGGAGCCTTTGATTCAGGTTAGCACAAGCAAAACATGCTGCTTTGTGTTGAATTGGAGCAGAAGCCATGCCCATCTGGCACAAACTGGCACTGTGTCGTTTGGGTTTTGAAACACACCCAGGGTAGTCTGAACTTACTGTACAAAAATGATCACACCCCCAAATGGTGGAAGGTTCAGCTCTCTGTATTCCTATTATGTTAATCAAGCAAATCCGCACCTCTTCACACTCCCCCTACTCCCTCATGCCACACTGGTTAATAACCAGTTCCATCACTATTAAAATGTGATTTTCAGTGGAAACAAATATCAGAAAAACAATAAATCAGTCTAAAGATAATTCTGACAATCACCAATACATAGCACAACATCAGAATCTATCTTGAATTTGTGAGGACTTAAAGAGCAGAGAGAACATGTGACCTACCTGAGCCACCATCCGCCAAGTAGCGGTCTCTTGCATACAGGACTGAGTCCAACATAGACTCAAACAGCAAGAAGTAACCCTGGAAAGAGAAGATCTTATTGATGGAGTTTACTGAACAAAAGACACAGGCAGCTCTTCATTTAGTTAAGGAATGTAATAAAAGCATTCCAAGAGAAGGCTAATACAGCATCTAACATCACTGCAGTGGAAATCTGAACTAGCAGGGATCAAGTGATGTGCTCATGTGGTCTGCCACCCCAGCAACAAAAGATCTGACCCTAGGTTGACCTTGTGTTCTGCTCCAGTAGATGGCACATTAAGCATGGTATTATTCCATTAAGAGTGGAATTGAGTTCTGTCCACATCTTTTTGGCTTTGACCTGAGTGGCAGGTACTGCTGACCTTGTATACCTGCTACCCCTTCAGCCAAAAACACCCATCAGTGGTTTTGGATCTGTGTTCTATGATCAAAACAAGAGCACAAGGAAAAACAAACACATTCAATTTTCAATTTGGATATTTGGTTTCCATCATTTGCCACCACAAGAACAGAAACGGCAGCAAACTGCCAATGAGCTGACCCTTTTTCAAGGTGTTTTTCCTGGTTTACACTAAACCCAAACGAAGCCAGAAAACTGCCACCCTATGTTCATTTACAAAATCATCTCTAATAAACTGAAGTAATAAGTGTAGTGAGAATGATATCTAAGATACTGAACTTCAAAAGAAAAAAAAGACTTGTATTCACAATGGAATAATAATAAAAGTCAGAAAGTTTTCTCAACAGACTGGCCTTCTGCAGGGCATGATTACTAAAAGGGACAAATCCATCCATCCATTAGTTTTCATTTTGTCTAGGGTTGGGTTACGAGGGCAGTCAGTTCAAATGAACAATCCATACATTCCCTTGCCCCAGAAATGCTTTCCAGCATTTCCTGGCAGACATTTCCAAGCTAGATGGGATAAATCCTCACTCCAGTATGTTCTGGATCTATGCCAGAGCGTCCTACCAGCTGGATGTGCCTGGAAGACCTCCAATGGACAGCAACCATGAGGCATCCTAAGTAGATACCCAAACCACCTCAAATGGCTCCTTTCAACACAACGCTACTCTGAACTACTTCTGGATGTTTGAACTCTGCATTCTGTCTCTAAGGCTAAGTTCTGCCACTCTACAGAGGAAAATCATTTCAGCTACTTATATTCGCGATATCACTCTTTCAGTCAAGAACCAAGCAAATGACGACAGGTGAGAGAGTTTTAACATAGACTGACTGGTAAATCATAAGCTTTGCCTTCAAGTTGAGCTCCCTCTTCACCACGATGGTCCAGTTCAATGCCCACATTACTGCTGATGTTGCACCCATCTAGCTGTCAAACTCACAGTCCATTTTACCCTGACTTGTGAACAAAACCACGAAATACAGTACTTAAACTCCTTCACCTGAGGCAGAAACTTACTCCCAACTCGAAAAGAGCAAAAAATAAATAAAATAAAAACAGAAAAGTCTGGGTTTTCATTTCTAAGTTTCTAACCAGTCTGTGCCATTATAAAGACAGCAATGAATATCACAATAGAGTTGTTGCTGTTGTTGTGTTACAATAACTTTTAGAATCCAATATCTCTACTTTCTCTTCAGTGGCAAAAAAAGAGTGACAGAGAAAGGTGAGGGTCAGGACCAGAGGTAAAGAGTGAATGAGGGGAGAGTGTGTTTGGGTGTGTATGAAGAAGAGACAATGGAGATGAAAACAGAGGAAGAGTGAGAGTGATGAGAATGCAGTGACCAGCTGAAGAGTAATTCACTGAGATAAGAACCTTATTATTCAAATATAGACAACGTTTTATGGGAAAGAGGAGAGAAGAGCAAGAGGCGAGTACCCCTGATTTATAACTCCAACTCCAAAATGATCACCATCTCTGTCATAGGTCTGAGCTGATAATAATGACAGCAATGAGGTTGATATAACCAAATCATCCTTCACAAGGTGATAAAGGGAAACATTCTCTGTTTATCAGCAGCGCACTGGTCTCGAATCAAAGTCAGACCAGCAGATCATCTGCTGCTGACTGTTGTGGTCCAGTTGACGTCCTTAGCGGTGAAGTGGTCGTTTTTAAAACACTCACACAGAGTACACCAGTCTCATAATTTAGAGCCCAATTTCACGGGACACTGCCTTACTTGAAGGAAAGAGGATATGAGGGAGAGAGGTGCTGAAAGCAGAGACACACCTTGCTCTTATTATCAGCAACGCTCCAGGATTACTACCCCCACTGCCTTCAGTGTCCTCCCAGCAGCCACACTCAGCTAATTTATACATCTGCAATGTAAATTTAAAAAAAAAAAAGCAAGCGAGAAAGAGAAGCAGAGATCTTTTTCTGTGCAATTACACTGGGTGCAACAAGACTGGAACTGTCTTCTTGAAAAGTTGAATCAAAACTGCATGATGCAGCAGTCCTGGGCTGTAACAATTTTTGTACTCTAGTTGTTGCAACCACATTCATTGACTCAACATGTAAAATGTTTAAAGTGCTAAAAGAGAATGAGCAGTGAGAATGAGGGGTTCAAGGGACTAAGCGGTAGAAAATGAATGAATGAATGAGGGGTTCAATCACTATACTGCTATCCTGCATGAGGTGAAAGAACATAGCAATGAACAACATAACACAGCAAGTACGGGTTTAATGTACAATCTGTTTGGTGGACAATACAGTCTCCTTTCTAAAACAAGTTTGGTGCAGGTCATGTAGGTTTGCAAGAGAGGTCAACCATTTATAAGAAGAAAGCATAATATGAGAGGAAAAGAACTCAGCCTTCAACTTCACAAATGATATGCATACAATTTAATGTTGCTTAGTCCTAAATATACTCACTTGGAAACAGAGTATTTGAAGGTCAATTAAGCTGCGTTCAAAAACATGGATAGCAATACTGTACGCTCAGCCTAGCTTAGCATAGAGAGTGGAAGCAAGGGGAAACAGCTAGAGAAGAATAAAAATATTTTAAAGCAATTAGCATCCAATTGGTCTTATTTACAATGTATTAGCAAATGTCGCCACAAGTACAGAACTTCTGACATGTGTGCAGTCACTGGACCCAACTATTGTTGGCTGGATTGTGCACGGTAACTACTTGTTAGACCGCAATATCTCATATCTGTGTAAAACACATTTAGATTTGTTGGACGGCAAGCTACGCTAGCAGCTTCCTCTTGTTTATTTTAAAGGCTAGGCTAAACAGGTCATGAGAATCTCTTTAGTGATAAAATGATATTGATCTTCAAATGTCTTAGTAAAAAAAAGGGGCAGTAAGTGGCATTACCAAAATATTTAAATATTCCTTTAAAGGGGTAAGGCCTACACCATTTCACTTCTCAGTATCACAAAGGTATCTTGATGTATCTACTGTCACAAACATTAGCTAATCACTACCAAGTAGACTAATTCACCTGGTTTAAAAATTACATGCTGAAAATTGAGATGAAAACACCGCCAATAAATAAATAAATAATACAATTTTAAACAAATTCTACCTCACTCCACTTTATATTTATTGACCTGGGTTCAGAAAAACAAGATAAAATCTCAGAACGAAACTGATTTACTAACTTTTTTGATACTATTTCCACCAATCAATCCATCGATGGGCCCAATGACACACAGACAGACCACGATGTTAGTGTGAGGAACAGCTCTGTTTACTCTCAGGGAGCTCGAGCATGCGAGTTGTCGTATATTCACTGTGCATTTCCATAAAAAGAGCCTAATGAAAACCTAATGAGAATGGGCTGAAGCAGCTTATACAAATTAACAAAATTAGCATATAAAACACATTCACCTAAGTAGGCTACCACACACACATATACACATCTATACATGCAATAATAAACACAAAAAAAGAAAAATTCCAAATACACTTTTAAAGCGGTTAGTTTTGTGAAGAATTTTAGCTGTTTCATTACATAATCAGTGCCCTTCAATGTACACAAAGAGCTACTGAGCATGAGTATTTTTTATGAACTCTACAGAGAGAACTTTTATAATTATTGCTGCAATGTTTTCCTGTCTTGAGTAGCTGGCGACTGGATAGAAAAAAGCTTGGTGAGCTACGATTTACAATTTCCATGTCCATCAACCTTAGTGTCTGTCAATTGTAGGTACCAAGAGGCAGTTGGGGACAAAATCTGCATCAGCAATTTACACTTTCCTTCGTCCTCCAGTACCTCTCTCCTTTTGCATTTAACTCGCGTCTTCCTCAATTACTGCAGATCATCATCACTTTCAGTCCCAGGAGGGCCAAGGCAAAATAAAGGAGATTGTGTACATGCATGAAAGTGTGTTTTCAGGATGTGTGTGTGTGTGTGTGTGGTATGGGAGTAGTTCCATGGTTCAATGATTACTAAAGGCTGCAGATTTACATACATCAACAATTCTTCTCTATACTAGTCTCGGGTCAGATTACACCAAATTTACATACACATATAAACATATCACACAAATCCATGTAATAGATTGTTAATGCTTGGTGAGTTCATGTTCCAATATCAACCTAATTTTTATATATACATACATACACACACACACACACACACACACACACACACACACACACACACATACACACACACATATTGCCTTCTCACCCCTATGGGGCGGTGTGTGCCTTCCTCAGTCTTGGCTCCTCCTACCAGAGGCCTGGGAGTTTGAGGGTTCTATGCAGTGTCCTAGCTGTACTTAGCGCTGCAGTCTTCCAGACAGAAAGCTCTGACAGTGTTCCTGGAATCTGTTCGAGCCACTCTTCCAGTTGAGTGCTCTTACCACCACTGGGATCACTTTGGCCTTCACTTTTCACATCCTCTCCAGCTTCTCATAATCCTTCTTCTTGATGTTGCAGTCACTTGGAACTTCTGCATCTTTTACCACTACCTCCACCTGTTCCTTGTTTTCTACCACAATGCCTGATTGGCTGGCCAGTACCTTCTTGTCTGTCTGAATGTGGAAGTCCCACAGGATCTTAGGCCTATTATTCTCTACAACCTTCTGAGGAGTCTGAGGAGTGCAGTGGTAACATCACTGCCTTT